CCTGACCGGCTCCGGCGGCCTGTTATTAATCGCACATCACGGCAGTATGCTACAAGCACAATTGACAAACATGTCACCCGGCAACAGCAAACGGGTGCGCATTACATGATTGGCTTGGCAACTTCAAACAGGCGCAATTGACAAACATGGTGCTCCACTGGGCAACGTCAGCGGGAATGCACCAATACAAACACAGCCCCGGCATCAGCAAACGGGAACGCCGTTACAAATATGGTGCCCCGGTAAACGCAACGGGAGCGCACTAATATAAGGTGGCCTGGTAGCTTCAAACAGGCACAACTGACAAACGTGGTGCTCCGCTCGGCAACTTCAGCGTGAGTGCACCAATACAAACACGGCCCCCGGCAACAGCGAACGGGAAAGCCGTTACAAACATGGTGCCCGGAAAACTCAACGGGAACGCACCAATGCAAGCTGGCCTGGCAACTGCAAACCGGCACAACTGACAAATGTAGTGCCCCACTGGGCAACTTCAACGGGAATGCACCAATACAAACACGGCCCCGGCAACAGCAGACAGGAACGCCGTTTCAAACATGGTGCCCCGGCAAACTCAACGGGAACGCACCAATACAAGCTGGCCTGGCAACTTCAAACATGCACAACTGACAAATGTGGTGCCCGGCTGGGCAACTTCAACGGGAATGCGCCAATCCTGTGACAAACACGGCCACGGCAACAGCAAACGGAATCGCCGTTACAAATATGGTGCCCCGGCAAACTCCACGGGAACGCACCAAGCTGGCCTAGCAAATGGGTACACTGTTACAACATCAGACCATCACATCAAGATGCCGCTGCGGCAACAATGTATATGTAGCAGCAATACAGCAGACATGTGAGGTGGATGTGATTGGGACCGTTTGGCCCGCGCACTATGGTGCCGACAAGGTGCCGGGCTGGAGCCACCAGTCACTCGTGCCCTGGCTTCGCCAGAAACATCACACGACCCAAAGTCACGGCGTGACTCGTGTGGACGCAAAACACTCAAAGTACCCGGCCCATCTTGGGGTGTCATCACACGCCCGCATCCATATCCACAGCTCAGGGGGTTTCGACCGCATCGGCCAGCACGTGGGCAAACGGCGGCATGAAATCGAGCATGAAATCGCGTAAATCGCGAGGGCTAGACATAGTTCTATCTCACCGGAAACTCTGACATGCAATCCACAGACAACTACCGATAATAGATGATGTCACACACATGCATGCATACACGCACACACAAACCGGCTGCCGACTAGTACTAGTATCAGTCTCCTAGGCACGCGCGCACGTGCACACAAAAACACACGAACCAGCTGCCGAATCCGACTATGCAGTCTCCTAGACACGCGCGCACGTGCACACACAAACACACGAACCAGCTGCCGAATCCGACTATGCAGTCTCCTAGGCACGCGCGCACGCGCACACACAAACATACGAACCAGCTGCCGAATCCGACTATGCAGTCTCCTAGGCACGCGTGCACGTGCACACGCAAACACACGAACCAGCTGCCGAATCCGACTATGCAGTCTCCTAGGCATGCGCGCACGTGCACACCCAAACGCACGAATCAGATGCCTAATCCGACTATGCAGTCTCCTAGGCATGCGCGAACGTGCACACACAAACACACGAACCAGCTGCAGAATCCGACTACGCAGTCTCCTAGGCAAGCGTGCAAGTGCACATACAAACACACGAACCAGCTGCCGAATCCGACTATGCAGTCTCCTAGGCACGCGCGCACGTGCACACACAAACCAGTTGCCGAATCCGACTATGCAGTCTCCTAGGCACGCGGGCACGTGCACACGCAAACACACAAACCAGCTGCCGAATCCGACTATGCAGTCTCCTAGGCACGCGCGCACGTGCACACCCAAACACACGAACCAGCTGCCGAATCCGACTATGCAGTCTCCTAGGGACGCGGGCACGTGCACACCCAAACACACGAACCAGCTGCCGAATCCGACTATGCAGTCTCCAAGGCACGCGCGCACTTGCACACCCAAACGCACGAATCAGCTGCCTAATCCGACTATGCAGTCTCCTAGGCACGCGTAAACGTGCACACACAAACACACGAACCAACTGCCGAATCCGACTATGCAGTCTCCTAGGCAAGCGTGCACGTGCACATACAAACACACGAACCAGCTGCCGAATCCGACTATGCAGTCTCCTAGGCACGCCCGCACGAGCACACACAAACCAGTTGCCGAATCCGACTATGCAGTCTCCTAGGCACGCGTGCACGTGCACACGCAAACACACGAACCAGCTGCCGAATCCGACTATGCAGTCTCCTAGGGCCGCGGGCACGTGCACACCCAAACACACGAACCAACTGCCGAATCCGACTATGCAGTCTCCTAGGCACGCGCGCACATGCACACACAAACACACGAACCAGCTGCCGAATCCGACTATGCAGTCTCCTAGGCACGCGCGCACGTGCACACGCAAACACATGAACCAGCTGCCGAATCCGACTATGCAGTCTCCTAGGCACGCGCGCACGTGCACACGCAAACACATGAACCAGCTGCCAAATCCGACTTTGCAGTCTCCTAGGCAAGCGTGCACGTGCACACACAAACACACGAACCAGCTGCCGAATCCGACTATGCATGATCTATACGCTGTCCACACCAGTCTATAACTGGAAGATTTTCTGAACCAAACGTTTTCGTTCCCTTCTCACCATGGGCTCATACAGGGTAGAGTAAGTATATGTTATCGCATGGTTGCAAGGGCCTTATGGCATATTATTGCCCCGAGAGGTTAGCCCGAGGGCCGTAGGCCCGAGGGCTAACCTCGAGGGGCAATAATATGCCATAAGGCCCGCAGCAACCATGCGATAACAAATTTATCACATGGCCCACAGAGCAGACCATTGGGCTGCTGTTGAAATTAGCCCAAATGCCAACACATTATGACCACAATGTATATTGATGTGCTATCATTATCAAAACAGGAAAAATGAAGATATTTCTCCTACACCCTAACAAAAAGTCTGCTACAGGCCATCAGAGAGTATACAGTACTGAAAGACGGAGACAGAAAAAAAGTGCCGGCACCGCATCGTCATAGCAATAGACATGGCAACGATAATAAAATACAGCAGAATCATAATTTCAATTGAAAAATTAAGAGTGCTACCACAAAGAGTTTCTTCATGTTTACATGTGTATCAGGAAGTTGTCAAATACAGTACTGCAACAAGTGCAAGTATTTGACGACTCCCAGGTGTGTAATTCTGAGGACAATTTTTCTTCTTTTTTTTCAGCTCCAGATAGCTGTATTTTTCATTGCAAAACATTCCTGAATTGTTGTGTTTGTTGTTCAAGCAAAGGTGAGATGAGCCTGGTAAGAGTTTTGCGTGGCACATGAAGACCACACACAGGCAGTGACTTTGCGAGGATTTCAAAACGCACGACGCTGAGTTGAATTTGTGTTATTTCAAATAATTGTTTGTGATCACAGTACCACTTCGAGCAGAACTGAATCTTATCCACAAGCTTACCGACGGTCAGGCTGCCAACATGACTGAACAAATGATCCCTGCAAGCACCACACGGCAGACGTCCGAGGCCATGTCCATTGCCGGGATGTCCATCTCCAAAAAGAATTCCATCTTCGTCTCAATGCTACACTGCGACTCGTCGTAGAGTCGTACAGTCTACAGAGTCGTCGTACGATCGTAGTCACGCGATCACTGAAATAAACTATTTTTTTGCGGGCAAATAAACTATTTTTTTGCGGGCAATATCGCATATTATTGCCCGCGGCGCGAAAGGTGCTGATTCGCTGGAGTACGGGCAACAATCACGTGCCATGTGATAACCTAGATTATCACATGGCACGTGATTGTTGCCCGTACTCCAGCGAATCAGCACCTTTCGCGCCGCGGGCAATAATATGCGATATTGCCCGCAAAAAAATAGTTTATTTGCCCGCAAAAAAATAGTTTATTTCAGTGATCGCGTGACTACGACGACTCTGTAGACTGTACATGTATACGACTCTACGACGAGTCGCAATGTAGCATTGAGACGAAGATGGAATTCTTTTTGGAGATGGACATCCCGGCAATGGACATGGCCTCGGACGTCTGCCGTGTGGTGCTTGCAGGGATCATTTGTTCAGTCATGTTGGCAGCCTGACCGTCGGTAAGCTTGTGGTCCATGTGGATAAGATTCAGTTCTGCTCGAAGTGGTACTGTGATCACAAACAATTATTTGAAATAACACAAATTCAACTCAGCGTCGTGCGTTTTCAAGTCCTCGCAAAGTCACTGCCTGTGTGTGGTCTTCATGTGCCACGCAAAACTCTTACCAGGCTCATCTGTCCTCTGCCTTCGCCTTTGCTTGAACAACAAACACCACAATTCAGGAATGTGTTGCAATGAAAAATACAGCTATCTGGAGCTGAAAAAAAGAAGAAAAATTTTCCTCAGAATTACACACCAGGGAGTCGTCAAATACTTGCACTTGTTGCAGTACTGTATTTGACAACTTCCTGATTCACATGTAAACATGAAGAAACTCTTTTGTGGTACCACTCTTAATTTTTCAACTGAAATTATGATTCTGCTGTATTTTATTGTCGTTGCCATGTCTATTGCTATGACGATGCGGTGCCGGCACTTTTTTTCTGTCTCCGTCTTTCAGTACTGTATACTCTCTGATGGCCTGTAGCAGACTTTTTGTTAGGGTGTAGGAGAAATATCTTCATTTTTCCTGTTTTGATAATGATAGCACATCAATATACATTGTGGTCATAATGTGTTGGCATTTGGGCTAATTTCAACAGCAGCCCAATGGTCTGCTCTGTGGGCCATGTGATAAATTTGTTATCGCATGGTTGCTGCGGGCCTTATGGCATATTATTGCCCCGAGGGCCGTAGGCCCTCGGGCTAACCTCTCGGGGCAATAATATGCCATAAGGCCCTTGCAACCATGCGATAACATATACGTATTACATCAGCTGCTGGAATGAATTTGTACATCTATAAGTGACTGGAATGTAGAAATAAAGAGTAACTTGAAATATATCTCTAAAATATTCAAACATTCTCGGCCTAATGAGGTTGAGGACTCCGGCCGAATGATAATATTCCATTATATGTATTCATAAAATTCAAAGGAAATGTTTCATGTATCTGCATGACTATAAGTAGTAATTCTGCAACGGGCGTAGTAACCTGGTGTGGTCCCCTACAATTAGCTGTCTCTACTGTCTAACATACTAGACTATTTCATTTACGTATATTTAGTGGGGTAGTGATCAAGAATAACATAATGTTGCTAAAAATTGGCAGATATGACCAAGGAAGAATGGAGGAATGGATTTGATAGATAACATAGCCAGTCAGTAAGATAGAGAACACACCACGGAGAGAGAGAGAGAGAGAGAGAGAGAGAGAGAGAGAGAGAGAGAGGGAGGGAGAGAGAGAGAGAGAGAGAGAGAGAGAGAGAGAGAGAGAGAGAGAGAGAGAGAGAGAGAGAGAGAGAGAGAGAGAGAGAGAGAGAGAGAGAGAGGGAACAGTACCAGTGCGTGCTGCGTGAAGTGCTTGACACCTCAATCTGTGATTGAGCAAACAGAGATACAGAGACGATCACATAATAGTATACACCAGAGCTAGAATGGATTGGACGCATGCACATGCACATGTACACATACCCCACAAACACACACACACACGCACACACACACACACACACACCCTGAATCCACACTCATGCACACAAATTTAAAAAATTCAGGCGTTTTAAGATGCGGCTAGCAATCCATAAAATATGGTACAGTCGTCCCTCTCTAATCCGGCACTTGGTTATCCAGCACCCTTGCAAACCAGCACACTTTCTGGCAAAACGGATTTTTTCAGCTCATTTTCTACGCTTTAATCCGGCACTTGAATTCCGCCTCCAGCAGCGATTTTCTGCAACAAATCACTCAAACTGTACATAATTCGATTTTCTAATCCAGCAGTTGTACATCGCATACTGTCAAGGAGCATTGTAACATACACAACACATGTAGCATACACTTGGGAATATCCTATGCCAGTGCATACGATATTCCCGGTAAATGTATGCTAAAGACATGCATTCCACAAAGTACTTGGATTGACACAGAAAATCCCTACGTTTTGACGCACGACATAAACATGTATGTTAACATGTGGGCCGGGTTGGAGGGCAGGATTTGATAATCCAGCACCCTTGTTTATCCAGCAGAAAATGCCGTTGCAAAAGGTGCCGGATTAGAGAGGGACGACTGTATAATAGTAGTACCTGCGCTCCAAATTTCCAGTCGCCAGGAACTTTGACTTTTCTCCAATTTGATTCATGCATAACGGATACCTCAACAGCATACTTTCTATCACAGATTGGACAATATCTGATGAGAAACACGGCATCGCAGCCAAACAAACCAGATGTACGATGCAATGACTTATTCGGAATTCAGGTAGTGCAAGAAATGAATGCAACCTACCGTTTACACATGAACCCGTCGTGGCAGAAGCTGGTTCATCTTGTTGACCTTGTCGGGATAGTTACCCCAGCGTTTAATGAGCTTCACCAGCTTGATGTAGCCAGCCTGTTCCTCGCTGCTTACAATGTTGACCAACTTTTGGTTGTGAGTGCGCGTTCCATGTCGTTCCTCAATCCTCTTCAAGTCTTCTATCTGCTGCAGATCGGAGAAGAACCCGGCCTCTTGCGCCATCAAACGAAATGTTCCCGCTGGTAACTTGCCCAACCAAGGCGAAATATCGGTTAGAAAGTCACACTGTTGGAATGGGTCGCCGTACGACTTCTCATCCTCATCTAATCAAGAATTACATGGGATAAAAATATGAACAAACATACAAAAATTGAAAAGGCGACGAGGAGACAATAACTTTATCAATGCGATTAATAGTATTAGTGAAGCGGACATTACAAAATGATGAATGAGAATACATGTATCTAAAATGGTTGTTCCTAATCGATTTTCTTGAGACTATCATCAGGGAAAATCGTCTCACAATAGAGGCTATACGGAGAAACAAACTATGTACTAATAGGTTATTGGATAGTGGGAAGTATACAAGGTGAGGTGTGAAAAAACTAAAGTGGGAGAGAAGACGAAAGAAATTAGAAGAAAAGATGTGAGAGTGTTCCCGACGGTGTGAGCTACTACATAAGGTGAGTGAAATGAAGGCGTGGAAGCAGGTGAATGTGATAGAGTGAGGAACTGTGATTTCTTTCGTCTTCTCTCCCACTTTAGTTTTTTCACACCTCACCTTGTATACTTCCCACTATCCAATAACCTATTAGTACATAGTTTGTTTCTCCGTATAGCCTCTATTGTGAGACGATTTTCCCTGATGATAGTCTCAAGAAAATCGATTAGGAACAACCATTTTAGATACATGTATTCTCATTCATCATTTTGTAATGTCCGCTTCACTAATACTATTAATCGCATTGATACAAAAATTGATTTATGACTTGCCGTTCACATTAGGTTAACACAGTAAGTTTCTACTTGGTCCGGCTCATCGCAATTGTCGCTTATCTATCGCCACTAAGAACAGGAGTTTTTTTCACCGCTCTGTGAAATTTCCAGTAGGCATAGTGAGGAAGCATGATACAAGAATACTCTCCACCACAAGAAAACATTTCAGCAATGGAATCAGGTGAAGCGAGTCGAAGAAAGGAAGCAAGGTAAGCAAAATGCACGAAATAAATCCGCGAAGGAGCGCGTTCTTGCAGTCACACTCTTACAGGTCCAGAGTTCATTCAACTCTGCATCACTCGAGCTGCCGCGCCGTTACATGAGCTGACATTTGCTGGTGTCTAGCTGCTGGCGTAGACTGGAGTATCTCTTGCTTTCTCAGGCTGTCGTATGGCAGCAACCGGAAAGGAACAGTTGTGGCTGTCACTTCGGTGCTTGAAGGAACCGTGGGTAGTGTGACCCGTGTGTCGCCACAGTGTGTTTCAACAAAGCCTTCGAGGCATACTACAGGCCTCTCCAGACAGCCGTCATACGCTCCGCTGGATACGCTGACCACGACTCTTGTAATGCTGCTGCTAGGTCCACCAAGCAAGGAACAACAACCGTCCGCCGGGCGAAAACACCTTTCTTCTTCAGCATGACGCTCATGCGGCTCATACTCCTCTGCCGTGCACGCGTGCCTGTCACGCTCTCCAGGATGTCAGTTGCCCCTACCACAGTTCCGGTCTTCGGCTCGCTGCGCTTGGCTTTTGGCAACACAGACAGTGAATGGCCAGATTCCCACTTCCCAAAAAAGTCGAACACATCGCGATTCAAAGCGCTAGTCGCGATCATTTTTCATTCGTGCCTCCTTTGATCTTGCCATCACAACCTCCCAAGCAAAAGTAAGTTAGATATCGTGATTGGACTGGGTTTTACCTGTCAAAAGGTGTGTGGGAGATAAGCGACAATTGCGATGAGCCGGACCAAGTAGGTTCATACACACGACCATGTTTAAGTCCTGCTTGGAAGCGTATGGATTTTCCAGCTGTGTCCCATACGAGTAGTAAATTGGCAACTCGTGGCTTGGCACAAGGGAAACATTGATGCAGCAAATGAGGTTTCCCTCTTTTTGTTAGTTCTGATCTATTCAAATTCCACCGCTTTATGAGCTGCATCTGCGCCTTAGTCATAGCGGGTGGTGGCAATCCTGTAGTTGTGAAAAACTCAGACTAACTTAGTTTCACGTGAAAGGTGACATCAGTTATAGTTCACGATTTTCATGATATTATTATACCACTATGCATAATATATCTCTAGAAATCATTATTATTCTGTACTTGGTCCGGCTCATCGCAATTGTCGCTTATCTATCGCCACTAAGAACAGGGGTTTTTGTTGCCGCTCTGTGAAATTTTCAATAGGCATAGTGAGGAAGCATGACACATGAATACTCTCCGCCACAAGAAACAAAATTCAGCCCTGGAATCAGGTGAAGCGAGTCATCGAAGGGAAGCAAAGTAAGCAAAATGCACGAAATAAATCAGCGAAGGAGCGCTCTTGCACTCACACTCCTACAAGTCCAGACGGTTTATTCAACTCTCCATCACTCCAGCTGCCACGGTTACATGAGCTGACATTAAATTGCTGGTATCTAGCTGCTGGCGTAGACTGGTAGAGTATCTCTTGCTTTATCAGCCTGTCGAGTGTCGTATGGCAGCAATGGAAAAGGAACAGTTGTGTCTGTCACTTCTAGAACGTGGGCAGTGTGACCTCTGTGTCACCACAGTGTGTTTCAACAAAGCCTTCGAATGAGGCATACAGGCCTCTCCAGACAGCTGTCATACGCTCCACTGGATACGCTGACAACGACTCTTGTAATGCTGCTGCCAGGTCCACAAAGGAACAAAAGGAACAACCAAAACTTCCCTCGCATGCGCATCGAAAACACCTTTCTTCTTCAGCATAACGCTCATACTCCTCTGCCGTGCACCCGTGCCTGTCACGCTCTCCAGGATGTCAGTTGCCCCTGCTACAGTTCCGGTCTTCGGGTCGCTGCGCTTGGCTTTTTTGGCAACACAGACAGTGAATGGCCAGATTTCCACTTCCCAAAAAAGTCGAACACATCGCGATTCAAAGCGCTAGTTGCGATCATTTTTTTCTTTGGTGCCTCATTTGATCTTGCCATCACAACCTCCCAAGCAAAAGTAAGTTAGATATCTGATTGGACTGGGTTTTACCTGTCAAAAAGTGCGTGGGAGATAAGCGACAATTGCGATGAGCCGGACCAAGTAGTATTGAAGTGACTTACATGGCTGGTTAGTGTTCAGCTCCGGTTGGAGTACCTTGGCTAAACCATCTTCTGGTACAAGCTTCTCCCTAAAGCAGACATTACAGACACACACACACACACAGACACACACACACACACACACACAAGCAAGAGAGCACCTCGTTATCATAGCATTACTGTAGCATTATGGTGATAATGCAGATTGATGGGTGCACGCAGCTTTGTGCTACCGCTCAATCTATGCTGCTATGTTTAATAGTGCTGTTACTGCATGCTCATGATTTGCTGCCGGCTATGGTCTCTGTGCGGCTTGGCACTCTGCATGATATTGAATGCATCTCTCTACGTGACATTGAACTTGTCTCTTTACGTGGCGTTCATGCGTGTCGCTCGCCTCCGATGTGGAAAGCGTGTGGCGGCGGGTGGCGTTCATGCGTGTCGCTCGCCTCCGATGTGGAAAGCGTGTGGCGGCGTTATGATGACGTTTGCTTGTAGCGCTCAACGTGGGTGGCATGCATCGTTGCATGTCTTGCTAGAGTTTGCTCTGCTATATATTTCGATCCGTTCAGTGCGACGATCATTCTTGCTTGCTGGTAGTGTTTGCAAGTAACATTACAAAAATAGTGGTATGGACTTTGAGTAACATTGCTATTAGCATATGAAAGGTAGAATTGAGATCAGGTGTGAAGCAATACCTGTACCATGTACACATGATTTGAATTACAACAAGTCTATGTGCTTACGGTGATGTTGACCGTTGGTATGAAACTGCCTCTGCGGGTGCTATTGCTGCTGCTGCTGCTGCTGCTGATGATGATGATGATGATGAGGGAGCTAACGCAGCTGCTGCTGCTGATGATGATGATGATGACGGAGGTAATGCCGCTGCTACTGCTGATGATGATACTGCTGCTGTTGCTTGTACTGCTGGTGGCACTGCAGTTGCTTGCACTGCTGTTGCTTGCACTGCTGTTGCTGCTGTTGCTTGTACCGCTGGTGGAACTGCTGTTTCTTTTACTGCTGGTGGCACTGCTGCTGGCACTGCTGGTTCTTGCACTGCTGTTGCTTGCACTGCTGTTGCTGGCACTGCTGGTGGCACTGCTGTTGCTGGCAATGCTGGTGGCACTGCTGTTGCTTGTGCCGCTGGTGCTGCTAGTGGCTGCTGAAATCGTTTTAGAAATCCAAAGATATGCAGGCAAGAAACACAGACAAGAGAAACGTTCAGTCATGCCCATTCCACAGACGCACACCGTAAAATAATAACTCCCCTGTGTTTCTAGTGCATTGCAATCCTACGCTTGCCTTTTGAGGAAGTAGAATTCTATCAAGTATTACTGTAAAGAAAATACTCCTCCTTGAAAAGATAATGAAAACTACAAAAGACACACTGTCACTTAATCAGTCATATGATCACAGTCACATGATCACTGTCACATGATCACTGTCACATGATCACTGTCATATGATCATAGTCATGTGATCACAGTCATATGATGGTGTGGATTATAGCAGCAAAAGTATCTATTCTACCAGCATGACATTTCAAGTGTATGCTGAAACCATACAAGACAGTGGAAGAAAATGTTCACAACTCACCTCAGCTTGGACAAATGGCACATCCTTACGCAGCCAGGGCCAGAAGGACCTCGGGACAATGACCCTCTCCTTGCAGGTAGCACACGTAGCCTTGAAGGTCAGAGCGGTGCTGCTATCCGACTCGTACGCTGTCAAGAAATGCTTCTTGTGCAAGCTGGTCAGCAACACCCACGACGAGTGTACCAGCATCTCTGCAGGACTGCTGCGTTCCTTCAGGCGATCCTGGCATGATGCGGAAGTGCAGGCGAAAGACTCACCAACAACTGCAAACTGCCGGTACCCTTGGCTGCTGAGAACTTGTGTGAAGCCAACAATTGCACTTTTCATATCCCAAGCCACATCAGCAAGTATGGATGGTGTATCAGCAGCGCATTCTAAGCGAACACCTGTCGGTGTCCAGCAAAGGCATACTTGACTACAACCAACCTCCAAATTCAGTGATGCCGCACTGGATGTGAACTGAAGACTGGCCGACTCTTTCTTCATACGATGAATTATGTAGGTGACTAAGCGACCGAACAGTGGTGGAGGAAACAGCATCCCAGGGAAACTGAGGTGGTTAAACGGTAGCTTAAAGGGAACATCATCCTCCAAAACCAACCGTAATGCTTCCTGGTTGCAACAGAACGGGATGAAGAGGTCGGGTAGGCCTGGCGTGACAACCAGAGATCTGCCTTGTCTGCTCCTGTTCTTGCTGCTGCTGCTGCTAATGCTGCCGACTCCACTGCCACACGCTCCGGTGCTGGTATCTGTACTGCTGGAAGCTGTACTGCTGGTGGCTGTGCTGCTGGTGGCTGTGCTGCTGGTGGCTGTGCTGCTGGTGGCTGTACTGCTGGTGGCTGTACTGCTGGTGGCTGTACTGCTGGTGGCTGTACTGCTGGTGGCTGTACTGCTGGTGGCTGTGCTGCTGGTGGCTGTACTGCTGGTGGCTGTGCTGCTGGTGGCTGTGCTGCTGGTGGGCTCAAGCTCTGCTGCCAGATTGAAGTAACACATGGATTTGCAGAGGGCTAGCTGAACAACATGGCTTAGTGGATACCAAACTCTCTCTATTAGGCTAGCGCTGGCAATTCCCGTGCAGCGAAAGTGTTTCACATCTTTGACTAATGTTGCCGAGGTGCTTGGAAAAGCTGTCTCCTTTAGAGGGAAGGTCATCAAGCGTACAAAGCTGAGTAGCAGCTGCTGAGGTTCCAGGAAGATGACACTTGAAGTGTCTGGATGCGGGCAGTCACAGCAGAATACTGTTCCATGTTGCTGAAGGTCATGCAGTAGATCAGACACTTGTGTCCGCGAGAGATCTTTGCCGCTAACATGCCGACAAAAGTCTACAAACTGGGGGTAGACCATGCTGACAAAACTCTGCTGCTGCTTATCACTGCACCCTGCCTTTGCAGAGCGCAGCATTGTCTTCTGGTGGAGAGAAATAGCTTCTTCTATCTTCACTTGCATCAAGGGAATTGCTTGGACGGGAAAGGCAGACACAATTCTAGAGAGCTCTTGCTGTGCTTCTGCGAGCTGGCTGTGGCGCGATACTCGATCTTGAAGACGGTGATTGTCAACAAAGAAGGGTCCACAGATCTTGACTTTGGGTGCGGCCCTTTCAGCCAGCTTGGACACGGCATTGAAGAACAGCTTCTTCTTCTTCTCCATCTGGTTGTCGTCGACAAGATCCACATGTGTAACAACAACCATGACGGCTGTGCTACTCTCATCATGATGGTGGCTGCCATTGCTGCTACTGTTCTTACCCGTCTCTGTGTCTGGTTGCTGCTGCTGCTGTTGCTGCTGGTCAGTGTGTGTGTCTGCCCTATGCTGCAAAGCAATCAGTGACAGACACATGTGAAGGTAGTCAGCCTGCGTCATTCCTGGTAACGGTGTGCAAGTTACAATCTCCTGACCATCAAAGCGGTAGACGTCTTCCGTTACCTCCTCATCCAGGTCACACCTCATGTCAAGAGTCACAATGTACACGCTGTCACAAACTGAAAACGAGATGCTTTGTTGTACCAACATCGGCATCTGTCCACCCATGTCCCACAGCTCAACAAACGCATATGCTGCTTCCACTTCATTTGAACTGTTATCCACATTGCCGACAGACGAGCGAACTTGAGAGATAACATCTGGTGCTACTTTGATCAGTTCATCAGCGTGGGGAACATTGGCAAACTCATTGTTGATAGAGGATGCAGCAGATGCTCCGGTGCCGGTAGCGGAGGCAGTAGGGAAAGTAGACGAAGCAGTACTTCGAAGTAGGGACGTGGCGAGTTTCTTGAGCTTGAACCATGCAGATGGTTGTGGTATCTCTGGAGCCTCCTTGATTTTCTTGACCAGATCTAGAGATGATCGGATACGAGCTGTGAGAAGATTGGCAAAGAAACTATGTTGACTGTCGTCCACAAGAATTTGTGCCGCTGCTTGTGTGCCTGTGGCGGTTGAAGAGGAGAGATGCATTCTGAGTCTGGATCGATGGATGGAAATGGAGTCGGTGCTGTCCGCGTTTTCAATGAACTCTTCACCGAGCAGTGACCGGACAAAGCTGGACTTTCATGTGGCGTACTTGCCGACAAGGTACATACGCACGCGTACCACGCTGGCCTCGTCCTTGCCACCAATGATGTCCTCAGCCACGGCAGCTGTATCGCAATAAACAACAATAATGCAGCGGCAGTCACATCAGCAGCCACACCAGTAGCCACACCAGCAGTAGCAGTCGCCATACCAGTAGCCACAGCAGCAGCAGCAGTAACAGCAGCAGTAGCAGTAGCAGCAGCAGCAGTAGCAGCAGCAGCAGAAGCAGCAGCAGCAGAAGCAGCAGCAGTAGCAACAGCAGCAGCAGAAGCAGCAGCAGTAGCAGCAGCAGCAGCAGCAGTAACAGCAGCAGCAACAGCAGCAACACTCACTGTTATAATTATGTTGTCAATGAAAATGGCAGCATGCATCAAGCACAACAAATTTTCCAATCACAAAAGAACCTAACCACCAAAAGCTGTTAAGAGCCCCCTCCCCCTCCCCTTAGGCCGCATTCACACCACGGGATAGAGCAGCAGTATAGGGAAAGTCGTCATGACAGTTTTCGAAACTCGCGCTCACGTGATGTTCCCGGCAGTAATAGCAGTAGAATTTTCCCCGACCCCTTTTTGGGGGGCTCAGAAACCTTTTACTGTGGGAAATATACCAGTAAGAACAGCACCAGTGCCACGACAACGTGTACAAAGCACTACACCAGTGAGTAGTAAAAACACTACTTCCTGCACTGCGCCGCTGACTTTCAAGTTTCAACTACTCAACATTGTAATTTGAGCTTCAAGTGTCCTTCACCTCTGAGCTTTTGTCAACCTTGACTTGAGACGCCTGTAGCCGGTAGTGCTCGAGAATGCCTACCGTTATTTTCACCTCCGAAATTTAGAACCATCTTATGAGGGTGTACGAGCGAATGTGGCTCCGCTCAAGCGGATCCACGCTGAAGGCGTCGGAAAAGTATGCCCTGGTGGCAGAAAAATAGAATTCAAAAGGAAAAGATGAGGGCTGGCGGGAGGTGACGGTAATGCTGTCTTTTACGGTACTCATACCTTGATCACCCAAATAGCGTTGAAGCTGCCGCGTAAAAATGTTATGGGGGCTGATTTATTGTTGTGACAAACGGTACGTTTTTTGGCCTAATATTGCATAGTCTATACGCATTTCACCTTGTATCACGTATATGGTGACATAGATGGTTGAACCGCGCGAAATAAAAGCTTTTCTCGTGGCAACAGCGTACTAAAAATAGCGTGCATCTTGCTAAAGGTCTAACCCAAATCACGGTATTTTCCCCTTACGGTAATACCGTTACAACAAAGTTTTTTGCTAAGGGTGTCTACTGTCGCCACCAAAATGGTTACGCTCCGGAGGAAAGGCACACATTCCGATCATTGTATCCAAAATCATTTATTATGAATAGACAAATGGGGACACACATCGTGAAAAGTGCGCCAGAAACAGATGCACGTGTAGACAAATGCCTGGCTGTAGTAGTTTCCATCATAATAATTATCATAATAAAATTTGGAAAGGATTGGAAGAACTTCAAATTCAAAGGATCAGTCGGGGAAGTGAACTGCCTGAAAAGAGAAAAAAACGCCAGACCCACCAGGTCCTGGTGGGTCTGGCGTTTTTTTCTCTTTTCAGGCAGTTCACTTCCCCGACTGATCCTTTGAATAATAAAATTTATTAATAATTATCAGCTCTAGGAGTCGTGTTTGTGCTACTCTCTGGTTTCTGGAGATCAGTTACTGATGTATGTGAATGCAACATGAGACTTGTCACAAGCTAAAACCGTCAGTAAAACTTTTCTGTTTTGCTGTAGTATGATGAATGCACCCTTACTGATCTCCCTTCTACTGTCGCCCTTTACCCCACCCCCACCCCCTTCTGTCTGTCTGTATGTCTGTCTATCTGTCTGTCTGTCTGTCTGTCTGTCTGTCTGTCTGTCTGTCTGTCTGTCTGTCTGTCTGTCTGTCTGTCTCTCTTCCCCTCTGTCTCCCTCTCTTTGTTGTCCTCTCATATCTAGTCACAAGCATAATAGAGCAAGAATTCTCATGGGCTTGTCTCAGTGAAGAATTCATCCAACACCATGAACTACCCAGTCAAGTTGGCCATGCTGTTGTTTAACTCCATCAATACCATGCACTAGCAGATAAGATAGTCGGCCATACTGGTAATGCAGTGTTGTATTAAACACTGCTTTCCAATCAGGTACAGCTGACTGGTAATGCAGTGACTAAACACAGCGGATTGCCCTGTCACCTAGACCATATACTCAGAGTGTCTCTCACAACTCACTAAACCATCTTATCCTCAGCTTCAAGTTACCTAGTATATGTACCTGAAGACTGTCACAACCAAAAATTATTACTACAGTCGTCCCTCTCTAATCCGGCACTTGTTTATCCAGCACCCTTGCAAACCAGCACACTTTCTGGCAAAACGAATTTTTTAAGTCCATTTTCTACGCTTTAATCCGGCACTTGAATTCCGCCTCCAGCAGCGATTTTCTGCAACAAATCACTCAAACTGTACATAATTCGATTTTCTAATCCAGCAGTTGTACATCGCATACTGTCAGGGAGCATTGTAACATACACAACACATGTAACATATGAGAGGTTCTGCAAAACGAAAATGTGTACGAACTTTCGCTCTACGTCACGAAGTGAGAAACTTCACACGAACTTTCGCAACTTTGGACGCGAAACTTGCAGGGAACGCGACATGAACTTTCGTAGGAAATTTCGTGAGATTGGGTCATGGCGTACGTGCACTTGGCGCGTGCAAACTACGAAAATGTGCAGAACACAAAGTTCGTGCGAAAATTCGTACACATTTTCGCAAGGCCTGTCGCGAAACTTCGTTCGAATTTTCGTTGTGCAGAGCCTCTCTATACACTTGGGAATATTCTATGCCAGTGCATAGGATATTCCCAAGTGTATGTTATAGACATGCATTCCACAAAGTACTTGGATTGACACAGAAAATCCCTGCGTTTTGACGTACATGTACGACACAAACATGTAAGTTAGGAGGTGGGCCGGGTTGGAGGGCAGGATTTGATAATCCAACACCCTTGTTTATCCAGCAGAAAATGACGTTGCAAAAGGTGCCAGATTAGAAAGGGACGACTGAGCAAAGAAATTCTAACATCTAGCAGACAGTTTGGCACCCACCAGTTCGAAGCTCCTCTTTCTCCTTTAGTTGCATCTGAGCACAAGCACAAGCACAAGCACAAGCACAAGCACAGCACACAGAACACAAGAAATGAGTCGATCAGTTTACTTTTATTCCCCATGCCATGCTAGGCGCAGTAGACGATTGGCATAAGCAGGGTTCACAGACTTCTATTTCAGGTCCGCTCGCTCACCAACCGGCACTCGTGCGTGTATGTGTGCATTATGTGTGTATGTTTGTACATAATACATAGTGTGTGTGTGTGTGTGTGTGTGTGTGTGTGTGTGTGTGTGTGTGTGTGTGTGTGTGTGTGTGTGTGTGTGCGTGTGTGTGTGAGTGTGTGCGTGCGTATGTGTGGCCCATATGGTGCAGTGGTATGTGCGGCCCATATGGTGCAGTGGTATGTGCGGCCCATATGGTGCAGTGGTATGTGCAGCGATTTCCAATCGATTGCCTGCGGGTTCGATTCCCGACGATTATGGTCACATGCGCTTTTCTTCTCTTTCTCAGACTCCTCCTGACTTTTCTTTCATTCTCCTGGGTGGTTACAAACAGCCAGTGCATGCCGGAGTACGTGGTATGATGTGTGTGCGGGGAAAAAAAGGCCAAAAAGTAGGGATTCACTGGCCAAAAAAGCAACTTCATAGCTGTGTGGTGTAGACCAGGCTGAATAGTGGCGGTCAATTCTTCAGCATTGCAAGCTGTTGAATGGTGCAATCCCAGCACAAACTGCTATGGCTTCTGCTGTAGCATCGCTATCATCGCCTCCGGCGATGAGCGTCAAAAGGTCCAAAGGTGTGTGTGTGTGTCACTGTGTGTGCGTGTGTGTACGTGCGTGTGTGGACGTACGTGTGTGTGTGTGTGTGTGTGTGTGTGTGTGTGTGTGTGTGTGTGTGTGTGTGTGTGTGTGTGTGTGTGTGTGTGTGTGTGTGTGTGTAATGACACATACCACATGACTAATCACGTGAGAGACCGTGAGGTGCAGGTCACATCCACGTCCAGTCCATGCCTGCAGCCGCTAAGATAGCCTTTTCAACAAAGCACTTATTGGCCATTCACACGACATGCAAACACATGTACGTGTGTGACCAAGATATCACTTGCAAACCGCAATCCAGTCCACACGGTGCTGGACAAACTTTGCACATGTCAATGTATCCATAGTTACCTTCTGAAAATGAGGGGAAATTTTAAATTTTGAAATTCCTGTTTGAAAAATATCCCACACACTACATTTGCAGCGCGCACTTTCAACACCGGCACTTTTGCTCGTGTGCAAAGTATAATCGTGAGCACAAGGGCCCCGGCCAAGTTCAAAAATCAGTTGCAAGTGTAGCGTTGGCACGCTGGTGACTTCACAGCGTACAGCGTATAGTGTTTAGCGTATACCGTATACCGTATTTCCTCGAATAATAGACCATGCTCAAATAGTAGGCCCTCCTAGAGGCCTCACGGAAAATTAGTAGACCATGCCCGAATAAGAGACCCGGTCTCTTATTTGAGTTCATCACTTTGCGCATGCGCACTAAGAAAGCACGTGGTGGATCAAAAAAGGACGCGATTTTAGGTTGCGCAACTACAATTATATTTGTAGTGGCTAGTGCTTTCTTTCATTATTTGAGCACGGTCCACTATATTTTCATCGGCACATCGCTGGAAATGGTGGATTTTTAACACGTCATTTCCAGCGATGTGCCGATGAAAATATAGTGGACCGTGCTCAAATAATGGACCATGCCCAAAAAACAAAAGACCGGGTCTATTAATCGAGGAAATACAGTAGCATATTCCCGTATGTTACTATATCTCCGTACATTAGCGTATCCCCGTACATTAGTGTACGGAGTTTGCTTGTGCATAAAAGCTGCTGCTCACGATTAATTTAGTTGCCAGTTAATTTCATTGC